ATTAGTTAACCATAATGAGGGGTCTAACAAGAAGCAAATCACTTTTCAAATCAACAAATATCTACCAAGTGCCATGGAGGGTACAAAAGTAGCATCGATCTTTGTGCCCAGTCATAAGGGGCTGACGCTCATTCAGGGAACACAAAATAAATATATTTGTCTTAGAAATGTTCCAAGGTAAATGCTAATTGATGTGACAATAACTACAAGTCTGATGACAGTTCAGAAAGGGAGAACGGGTGAGGTTTCAGTTGGTCCCTAAGGAACAGTGGCTCATGCAAGAGGACAGCAAAGAGAAGGGCAGGATGAAAGGAACCCAAAGGATGAGGAGCCAGTGCAGGAATATGGCACACACATGGACACAGAGTGATCTGTCTCGTTAGAGCAAGCGCATGCTACAGACTGAGGAGCAGAAGTGAATGAGGGTAAATGGGTAGCATGTGGACATGTTTTTAGAAAACCAGACAGGAGCTCTGATCTAACACAGGAGTTAAGAAGTAACTGCCTCAGATTCTGGAGCAGGAGACTGAGAAATGCCAGCAATGCCTCTGGTATTTTGGGAAAATTAGTCTGCTATCAGATTAGGGAGGACAGAGACCTGCAGCAAAGAACTACAGAAGTGTGTCCTGCAGTAATTTGAACACTGGCCTCAGCACAGAGGATGGCAGCAGAAACCAAGAGGAAACAAATACAGGAAAGAATCTGAAGAAATGCACAGTGTGGGAACTGGTGGTTGCATCCAATGGATAAATGGAAAGACCCAGGCTGAGTGGATGGGAGCCTAATGAGGCGCCCCAACGGATGCCCCTGCATGAGTCACACATGCTGGTACAAAGCTACAGCGACACCAGAGCAGCAAGGAACCTTAGAGAAGGGGGTGTGTCTGGAAGTTCAAGTGCCTGCTTGGAGTGAGAAATAGAGGAATACCAATGTGAAAAATATGTCACTATAAGGAAATGGAGAAAACAAGAGCCTGGGGATGAAGAAAAATCTCTTTTCTTGTTTTTCTAATTCAGGAGTTAAAAAACCATTATCTGCTTACATAATGGGTTTTAAACATTTATTCATTCAATAAATACACATATAAGTATAACTAAGTGCAAGTCTTTATGTTAGCTACTACCTAATGTAAACAAGCTCTACCTATGCTAAGTGAAAAGTATAATAAATTAAAATGTAACGTCTGGGCCGGCCCGGTGGCGCACTGCTACAGTGCGCCGCTTGGGAGCGCGGTGGTGCTCCCGCCGAGGGTTCGGATCCCACATACAGACCGGTTCCCGCTCACTGGCTGAGCGAGGTGTGGGAGCAACACCGAGGGTTGCGATCCCGTTGCCGGTCCCGGTCTGGTATGGGTGCGACACTGAGGGTTGCGATCTGTGGCCGGACACGAAAAAAGACAAAAAGGAAAAAAAAAAAAAATGTAACGTCTGTTTTGCAAAAGTTTACAGTACAATTAAGGGAACAATAAGGAGTGATAAAACAGTAGGGGAAGAGGCACTAAAAATCAGAATAGTCACAGGCTACAAATAAGTCCTGCAAGGGTTCCAGATGACTCCTGACTTTGGGAATAATAAATACAACAACACTAATAACATTATAAAACAGAAGATGAAAAGTGCCGTAAGTGAGGTTTCATCTGAATGCTTCCTGGAAGTTAATGTAAATTTTACTTTGCTGCAACTCTTTCATGCCTGAGATGCATAGAAAAAAAAGAAAGGATACAAACCCTACCCTAAAGTAGCTCATGGTTTAGAAGAAACAAAAAAGTTGGCAGGTGTTCAAAGGACAATGAAAGGACAATTACAGACTTAATATTACAGTGCTATGGAACATGAACGAGAGGCACTTGTCCCCAGTTCAGAGGGAGGAGGGAGCTTCCTCAAGGAGGAAACGACTGAGTTCAGCCAGCCAGGAACAGAAAAAGGCCAGACAAAGAAGAAGGTACTGTATGCAAAGACACAGAACCCAAGCCTCATTCAAATTAAAGTCCTTTAGTTCCAAAAGGCAAAATCATTACAAACCACACAAACTGCAGGAAGCAAAAACTGAGACAGCCTTGTAAATGTCTATACACTGTGAAAGTCTGTCTCTTTTCCAGGCATCAACATCAACTCGAAAAGAATAAGAAAGCAAAGTGTCATAGTCAGTATGCAAACTAATTTCCAGCCCCTAAATCCCATACCCAAGTCTGGGGGCTGGGGAATGTCCTCTGGATTCCAAAGCAGGGCTGTGATAATACACCAGTCTTGAGCTACAGTGAATCGTGTAAAGAGGTTTTTAGCAACTCAACACTAGGTAACCAATGCTGAGGTTGCAATCTGGGGCTGGGACAGTGGCCAGCAGTCACAGAATTGGGCTGAGCATGCTGACAAGACACTGCACAGATCTGCAGAGAAGTGGCAGGGGGGCCTTTCTAGTGCAAACTCCAACTCCTTCTCTGCCCCAAGCTAAAGCTAGCAGGCAGACACCCGCCCACTCAAAGGGCCTTGGTAGAAGAACATAAGAAAAAGCCCCATTTTCCTCAATGATTTTCTGTGCCACTAGATGCCCTGAAGATGGCCTTGAATCCTGGAAGGGATCATGGCTTTGAAGCTTTGCATTTGCCTGGGAAATCTTTGTTCAAACCTCACCAGGATGCCCAGTATGTATAACAGATGCGAGTGGAGCTGTTTTGATTCTGCAGAAGCTAGGGCTCTGTGGAGCACTGATTTTGAAAACTGCCCAATAAGCTGATCTTCTCCAGTCCCCTTACAGGCTGTCTGACATGACCCCTAGCATGCAGGGCTCAAAGGTCAGATCCACATGGTTGTTTCTCTGAACATAAAAGCCAAAACCACAATTTGGGACTCTTTCTTACTTAAATTTGGTAAAATTTTTTGAGGCACAATTAAGGCAAATGTAGATTCTATCTCATTAATTGCTCCATATATAAACCCAATCTTTGCTGTACCCTAAGAGGAAAAACAGAGCCTTGATAAGATAAATAAAATTTCCTGACTTATTTCTGTCAGATCAGCTCCTGCTGCCCTGCGTGTACCAGGGGAGAAGTCATAACAACATCTGAAATATAGTTAATGATTTAGGCTAAATGGCTACTAGGAGAAAATAAAATCCCTTATAGTGTTTTAACTACCAAACCAACGATAAAATCCCCAAGGAAGGAAAACTCAATATGAAGCAACACAATCCTATCACCTCATAACAGTCTTTCAAGAGCTATTTTTTAACCATTTGTTTGAAAAATACTGCAGTGACAATATATCGAGTTATTATTCCTATTAAGTATTATATTCATTAGTTGGACAGCCCTTAGCAGAGTCATGAAATCAACTCCTATATGCTGGTCACTGATTAACTGCTGCTATGTAACTCTGATCTAGATCATCTTGTGCCTCAGTTTCTGGATTATTAAAATAGGGACAATAACCCCTGTTCCCAGCTCCCTTCCATTCAAAGAGTGAAAGGATATGTGAAATTATATGAAAATGCTTTAAGCTGGAGGCAAGGTGGTTGAAGAAGATAAAGTATATCAGATTCTGTAAGACACAATAGTGTCCAGAAGGAAGGACGGGTATTTGCGCTGCTGCCACTCCACACGCAGTGGGTGAATCCTGCCAACTCAGCGACGATGACTCCCATAACAACAAACAGCCTGTGTCCCAGAATGTGCTGCTGGCAATAATGTCCCTCCTACATGCACAGTCTGCTGCATCTTTGGCTTTTCATTTCTTCTCTGTAAGCTGCTTGACACAGACCTCCCCTTTTTTTTTAACATTTAACCCTTTTCCTTTCTACTACCTCTGTACCAAGTCCTAATGCTACATTTTCCTCCTTGACGCTGCTGTCAATGGAAATTGCAAAAACTTAAATACGGTCATCCTGCTCCTCTGCCTGAACCCATCAATGCCTCCTACTCCTCATCCAATCTACAGTACAAAGGCCAAATATCTTAGGTGATATCCAAGGCCCTGCATAATATGACTTTACATACCTCTCAGCCCTCATCTCCCACAATCCTCAAATTACAACCCAGAGTCCAGCCAGGCTTAGCCATTTCTCATAGGACAAACTGTGGTACCACTCAGGTCCTGAGGCTTCAGTTCTTGTTGGAAATGTACCTCCTAAAGTCCTTGTCCTTCTATACTCTGACCACTTCTTTGCTTTCTATTCCTCTTTCTGCATAGCTGCTGTATCTAGCGCATACTTCTAAAGATGCACTTACCACGATATTAGTATAGCCATGTTTCCTTTCTCCTAGACAAAGCTCCTTGGAGGCAGGGATCTTGCCCTGATACTCATCCTTGTTATCCCAGCACCTGGCCCTGCAGCAGACTCTCAATACACATTTGTTTAATAAAAGTTCCAACTGTAATTATCAGTTCTTTTGATTTCATTCACTGAACAACTATTTTCCATACATAAGACTTTTACATTCTAATGAGAGAGACAAAGAAGACAAAAATCAGACATCAGACACATCTGAATGCAATTTCAGGTTGTGGTAAGTGCTATGAAGGAAATAAACAAGGAGTTGAAATAGAGTCAGTGGGATGAGGAGCTGGGATCTACTTTAGATAAGAGAGTCAGGAAAGACCTAAGAAGATAACTTCTTAGGTGAACCATAAAGGATGGTGAGTCAGGTAAAGCGTGTGGGGAGAGCAATCCAAGCAGAAGGAGCAATGGGGAAAGGCCTGGAGGGGGGAAAGAACTGTTAGTTCAAGGCACTAAAAGAGGGCCACTCTTTTGAGAGATGGGGAAAAGTTGTTTATCTAAAAAATTAATTTGGTGAAATAGGAAGGGAGTGTGATCACAAAGCGTCCTGCTAGGCACAGTAAGGCGTCTGAATTTTATTCTAAATGCAACAGGAAGCCACTCAAAGGTTACAAGCTGCAGTTAAAATAATCTCACTTTTGCTTTAGCAAAGAGTCACAGAACAACTCTGTCAACTGGCCCAAAATGATTGTCTGGCCAAGGTCAGTACTCTCAGGCAAAGGCCATACCTCCGCCTGCCAAGCCAACGTGGAAGCTGAGAGCGCAGATGTTCTTCCAGCTCCAAGAACAGCGATCGTTTCCCCATCATCATCCACCACTTTGAAGTCCAGGTCCTCGTTGTATTTTCTGCGCTTCACCTGCCGCCCTGAGCGTCGTTTCTGCAGGACAAACACGCCCATCAAAGAAGCTCTGTGAGGCAAAGGCAAAAGCTTAAGCAATACCACCCTCATCTACTTACTAACGTGCCAAGGAGAGCTTTCTCACCTTGCAGAAGGAATCTTCCCGAAATACGACACTCTTAAGAACAAAATTCACTCAAAATGGAATCTAGCTGAGTGAGGGAGAGAACAAAAGCCCAATCTCCAAACTGCCATAATCCACTAAGAAAAGATGCAGTCTCAGAATCCAGTGAGATGTATTTTATTCGTTACTGGCAGTGACTTTTTTCCTTCTTTCTGGAATGGGCTTCTATTCAAATAAAACAGGGATGGGAGGTAAACTCCATCACCTCTGAGGTCCCTTTCAGCATTAACTGAAAGTTCAGATTCTATAACAATGATGACAGTTTTTCATCCTTATTTTTTTGTCTAATTCACCGTACTTACCACGTACTCCTAAAAATATAGTTTGAAAAACTACCATTTTTGTTAGAAGTTACTTTGAGAATCTCTTAACACTTCCTGAACTACAGGGAGACATCTGGTGTGTGACAAAATAAGGTTTGTGAGTCACCATATCTAAGGACTCATCTCTGATCAAGTTGCTTGTACCTTTTAGAGAGACAACACTCAACAACAAAGCAGAGCAGGTACTCATCATATACCAGCAGCAGAATCACTTCAGGGAACCATCACCAGCCAGCACATTCTCAAATACCTAAACCTTAAAAAATACAAAAGCAAAACCCCACCTCTTTTTTCTAAATGATATGTCCCGGGCATCTCTCTGTGTTCCCATCACTTCTGCACTATGATATTTAACTGAATGTGAGGGATTCCACATAAAAACCCCTCCTTCCATCCCATATACAGATCACCATACTACAAACACTTAATTTCATGCCAAATCCCATCAACTCAATGTGCTTGCTCCTTTCCCAATCTGGATACCTAACAGCCACCAGCCCCAGTTTATAAGCAGTGAGGGAGTTTTTGCTCTGACACCAGACACTACTACTTATTAACCCTATGACATTATGAGCTGACATCTTCCTATAGTGAAGATCACCGAAAAACCAATGAGGGTCCAGATGATCCAGTAAGTGGGTCTTATTCTGATTGGTCCCCTTGCAGCAGCTTGTCTCAAATAAATTGCTGTGGATATCAGAGAAAACAGAGCACTTTCAAATATTAGAATTCATGTCGGAGAGTTGCCTTAATTCAGGGAGAAAATCCCTACCAACATCAGGAGCACACTTTGGCATATTTTTAGAGATCTGATTTAGATGATCAACTCCTTGTTTCCATATTTGGCCAATCCTTTCTTACTATTTTTGCATAATGAATACATCCCTGACTTTTCGAATATCTGGGATTATTGAAAACATCCTTGTACAGACTGGTCTAGTACTCTGAGCATTAAATGTATTACCCACATGTCAAAACAGGCCCCCTGGGCGTTACCTAGCTTGGCTCACAACTTCATTTTCCATACTGACTCCCTCTGCAGCCTAATATCATGCTACTCTCCAAGGAGGAAACCAACAGTACTAAAAAAAACCTGGGAGATTATTAATATAGGAATCAGGCTAGGGAAAAAAAACCCTTTCATCTACCTGCCCACCCACCAAAACAGTAAAAGCCAAGCCCAGGTCTGTGTGTAAGGGTAGTATGCTAGAGACAGGAATAGACGAGCAACAGGATCAGTATCGTAAGACTCTATCCAGCAGCCATAATCTCCACTAGAGCTCCCGGTCACAGCTGTACCTGGCTGTCTGCAGACTCAGTGGACTCCTCAGGACTCCGCAGGGATGAGTTTGGCAGGCCCTGATCCAGCTCTAAACTCTCCAAGGTGGTTTCACTTTTCCTTTTTCCTTTCTTCTTTTTCTCCACTGGGGTTGGTCCTTGCTCCTTGCTACAAGGAGAAATTCGAAATTAAAACTGTTGAGCAGTTTATAAAACTAAGATTTCTCATGTGAGCAAAGTCATGAAATTATATCCTGGAATTCTAGGCCCAGGGAAGGTTTTAATGGAGAATCTACAGGAGTTTCTTCCCAGAAATATACAGACATATGAGAAAAATATCTACATGAATTGATGCAGAATTCATTTTATTACACCCCAGCATGACTACTGTGGCTACAATTAATGTGATAAGAAATAGTACGAATGTCTCCAAAAACTTCACTTTGCTTATACAAATGTCTCCTTTAGGAAGTTTCATTATGCACAGATATGAAGAATCATCAAATTACAGTCTCCCTTTAAATTACACAAGAAAAGACATTTCCCTAATCTGTCATCATCCCCTATTGAGTACCATCCATGTATAAGACCCAGAGTGAACACTAGGAACTCAAAAATGAAGATACATTGTCTTTACCCTCAAGGAGCTTACAATTATGAAAATTCTTCAGTCTACCTACAGCCACAGGCCAAAGCAGTACATGAATGCTTCCTCAGAGAGGTAGAGATGGGCAAAATCCATCCATCCTGCAAGGCCCTGCTAGGAAAACATCTTCTCTAAGAAGGCTTTCCTGACCCTTCTAGCTGGTAAAACCTCTTTTCTACACTCCAAAAGCACTTCAACCGTGTTTTGCTTAAGGTACTCAAACTCTGACTTTTCACCAAAGTTAGTCATTAACTATGACACCAGGCTCAGGACCCATGTATCTATGTACATTGCCTGGATGCTCTGAATAAATAAATATTTTATACTTCTCTGATCTCTCCTACCAGACTTTTAAGTTTCCAGAGAGCAGTATGGACTTAAGTTTTTGTATTCCTCATAGTGACAGTATTATGCATTATACATAATAAGTATTCAATAAATATTTAAGCAAGTCTTTTTTAAAAAATTAAGCAATAGGGTAGATGTATTAATGGATGGGCAAGATGACCTATGGTTGGGGAGATTTGGGAAAACATATCTGAGGACAGACATACACAGATTTTTGACAGACATCAGATAGAAATAATAACTAATAATGACTGCAGCTACTATTTATTTAACACTTACTACATACAGGCACAGTTCTAAGTCCTCACATTTATCATGAGGAATCTGAGGCACAGCGAGGTTAAGTTAGATTTCGAGGGTAATAGAGCTAGTAAATGGTGGAGACAGGATTTGAACCCAGGCAGTATGTGGTCTTAATCACTATGGCGTTACTGGAGAATGGAACAGTGTTACAAACACATTTGTAAAAGACAGCCAAGTGGCTGGATGACAGGGCAAGAGGACAGAAGCACTACATGATAGCTGGAGAGAAGCCAGAGAGGTCAGACTTTACACTGTGCGAAAAGGGCCGTGATGGCAAGTCTAGGCAAGAGACGCTGAAGACCAACCTAGATATAACCAATGAGAACACAACCAATGAGAAAATGCTTTGGAAGACCCAGCACAGGTAGAACCAGGAAGTCTTGGCAAGTGACAGAATGTCAGAAGGAAAGAGCCAACATTATTGGTATCTTCCAGCAGGACAGCTGGTGGAAAATATAGGGGAAGGGGGAAACTGGATGGCTTTGGGGAAAAAGGGGTGCTCCAGCTCACACATCAACCAATGCTGATTGCTAAATCAGCCTGCTTCTCTCTCGAATACCCTTCACTCTGCACAAATCCCCAGTCAGGTCAGCGCAAACTCAGCCCATCTTTGATTCTCCAGGCTGAAGACTGGCTTGCCTACAAGGAAAGTTCATGATGACAAGTATTTTGGTCCAACCTAAGGAAGTGAAACTCAAGGGGTCCTGCCATTTTAGAGGATTACAGAGTTTAATAATGGACATGTACCCTCAAAGCAGTGAAAATAAGCAAAAGATTTCCACTTCTTATTACTACAGAAGAGGAGACTCAGGTGAAACAGTTTAAAAAGACACCAAATCTCACAGGAATATTTCTTCCATGTTGTGTGGTTTCTCATTAAGAAAACTGTACAGTAACTTATATTCTGCAAAGCACTTATGCATTCTATGTCTCATTTAACTGTTACAACCACAATCCCATGAGGGAGCCACAGCAAATAATCCTCATATTCCAGATAAGGAAACTGAGGTTTAAAAGCAGCAAAGGTCCCAAAGTCAGCAACCGAGCAGAGGCTGCCATTCAGGTCATCTGAGTCACAGGGTATTGTTTTTCTATACCACATAATGGTTCCTGATGCTTTTGTTCAAAATCCTAGTATCCCTTTCAGAGAATGTTAAAACTTCAAATCTCCTTTAATGTTATTTGAATCTCAAAATAAAAGAATCAGCAACAAAAACATCCCAATGACTAATATATGAAAAAAAAAAAATTCACATATCTATAGTTGCTGATGGTTGTTTATGGATCTCTTTGCAAAAGGAGGTTTGTGCTTAATGTTACTGACATAAATTGAATGAAAGCTGATAATATCCCGAAGGTCACTATAATAATCACACGCTCAGAGGCCCATCAAATCTTCCACTGAATCTTAAATCCTTGTTTCCAACATTTGAATATTAATTTCATCTAGCTACTAAATGTAACAAATGTTTTTATATTAGAAACCTTTTATTTTCTAATATGTGAAATGTTTAGTGTTCATTTTAAATATTCATATATATACTGAAAACATGTGCTTCACTGTGGAACATCATACTCAAAGCCAAACCAAGCCCAAATCATAATTAAGGAACAGAACCTCCTCAAAATATGACACTTTACCATGAGACTTGTGTGCATTCTCAGAAATACATTAAATGATGAAAGTAAGGAGAAGCCATAGTGAGGCACCTCCAAAGTCAAGCCTGGGACATTACTAGATTTTCCTAGCAGAAGCTGGGTGTAGGATGGGGTGGGGAGGACACTTTTTCAAATATATGTCAGTAAAACAGGAAAATGCTTGCTGAAACCTGCTTAGTTATTTGGGGATAAATAAGAAGATACTCTACCTGGGAAATCTTCAAAGTGATTTTCTGGAGGTTACCTTTGGCAACAGAACCAATTTTGAGTTCCAAAAATTCTTCCTGGAGTTCTTCTGATAAAGACAAATATCAGGAAGAAAAGATTCTTTGTAAGCTTACAAATGGGATTTTCAAGTAGGACATCAAGAAAACATCACCTGAATTCATCCTCCAGGAAGACTAGATAAAATATATTTTTCCCCTCTTTGGAATAAGTTTTTAAAAACTTACACTTGAGAGTTTTAGCTAATGAAGACATTTTAATCTCCAGATTGCTACATCTATATCGATTTGGTCCATGAGTGCCTCTTTGCTCCTTGAAGTTCCAGGCTCTTCAAAAATAGTGGCCAAATAATAACAAAAAACTACGCATGCATACACCCTTTGACTCAGCAATTCCACTTACAGGAATTGTAAAGATACAACTCCAACAACACGAAAACACATATGCATGAGGTTATTCACTGCAGCATTATTGTAATTGCAAAATAATAAAAACTACCTACATGCCCAAACATAAATGATTAAATAAAGATACATACAGTGGAGTACTATGCAGCTGTAAAAACAGTTAAGAAAGAATCCTACAAACTGATATGGAATGACTTCTAAGATATATTAAATGGGGGAAAAAAAGAGCAAAAAGATATAACATGCTGTCTTTTGTGTGAGGACGAAGGGGAAACAAAGAAAGTATGTGCATATCTATTCATTGTTACAGAAAGAAACACAGGAAAGATAAACCAAAAAACAATGATTATCTACAAAAGGATGGGGTAGGGAACCGGATAGAAGAGATACAGGAGAGAGTGACATTTCTCTGAGTACGGGTGACCCTTGAATAACACAGGTGTTGAGGGTGCTGACTCCCCACACAGTTTAAAATTTGAGTAAGACTTCTGACTCCGCAAAAACTTTACTAATAGCTTACTGTTGACCAGAAGCTTTATCAATAATGTAAACAGATGATTAAGCACATATTTTGTATGTTATATGTATTATATACTGTATTCTTACAATGAAGTAAGATAGAGAAAAGAAAATGGTATTAAGAAAATCATAAGGAAGAAAAATACATTTACAGTACTGTGCATGGATTTATTGAAAAAAATCCATGTATAAGTGGACCAACACGGTTCAAACCTGCATTGTTCAAGGGTAAACTAGATGTCTTTTTTTTGTGTGTGTGTGTGTGTGTGTCTTTTGTCTTTTTCCGTGTCCGGCAACGGATCGATAAAATGGTATTAAGAAAATCATAAGGAAGAAAAAATACATTTACAGTACTGTGCATGGATTTATTGAAAAAAATCCATGTATAAGTGGACCAACACGATTCAAACCTGCATTGTTCAAGGGTAAACTAGATGTCTTTTTTTTTTTGTGTGTGTGTGTGTCTTTTGTCTTTTTCTGTGTCCGGCAACGGATCGCAACCCTCAGTGTTGCCCCCGTACCGGACTGGGGACCGGCAACGGGATCGCAATCCTCGGCGTTGCTCCCGCGCCTCGCTCAGCCAGTGAGCGGGAACCGGTCTGTATGTGGGATCCGAACCCTCGGGCGGGAGCGCCACTGCGCTTCCCAAGCGGCGCACTATCCGGCCGGCCCTAGATGTCTTTTTATAAAGATTTAACTTTTGGAAATATGTTAAAGTTCTACATATTAAAAAATAAAAAGCTAAAGATGAAAACAAGCTCAGACAAATGAATCCAAGTGTGTTTTAAATGAATAACATAACCATGTAGCACACAGGGAAAAAAACCCAATCCCATTAATTTATGAACACAGTATTTGACTATATACTCTCAGCTTTTGGGAGAAGAGGAGAGAGCAGCAAACAAATCCTGAACTCCTTTTTGGTGGTTGTACAGGTGAAGCGATTCTGAAACTATTTTAGATGTGGTACGGGATTAAGCAAATGAGGAAATGTGTTGATGTTTTTGAGATCTGGGGAAGAGGGAAGATGCAAATGCAAAATGTTATAAGGCAAGGAAGATA